GACAGCTGAAGGACCCTGTCCACTCCAATCTGTCTGACCCCTGCCACTCCACGTTCCCCGGTCCTATGTGACAGGACTCTGCCAGACTGCCACCTTCTCCAGGAAGCCTTCCCGATTGCCCTGCCCTTGTGCCTCCCCCTGGAGTTCCTCCAGGCTCCTCAGCAGACACAGAAGCATTGAACTTTTCTGCTTGCATCCTGGATCCCTGATTTTCCAGGGAAGTTGGTGATGTTCCTGACAGCCCATGCACCCGTCTCCCCTGTGGCCCCGGTGCTTGGGCGGGCACAGAACAGGCAGCCCTGGAGGAGTGAATGAATGGGTGGGTGGGCACACTCAGAGCAAAGCAGAAAGACCATAACCTGGGCACCCATCAGGGTCCCCACATCCATGCCCACAGCAGACCCCAGTTCTTTCCCCATGCTCTTGGAGCTGCATGTAGAGCAATGGCCCCCCACTAAACACGGAAAATTTAGGTGCAGGCACGTGGGTGGATGCATTAATTGTGCAGGTAGGGAAACTGAGGCGTGACTCTGCCCAAGAGATCTCAGTGTGTCAGACCCGAGTCCTGGGTTCCTGCCAGGCATCCAGGACGGGACCCTGGGCTTTTCCCCTCTGGGGTGCTGGACTCTGAGCCCCAACAGGCTGCGCTGCACCGAGCTGTCAGGAGGGATCAGCAGCCTCGGCATCTCCCCAGATTTAATTAACGAGTCTTTCATCTCGGTCCGGGAGGAGTCAGCTATCTTCTGTCTCCTTAATTAACGTTCATTAAGCAAATCAGAACAACGGAGGCTTCGCTCCCTCCTCCTTGCCTGGAAGGTTTTAACCCTTGGTGGGTGGGCTTTGGGAGGGGAGCCGGGACAGCACTGGGCGCTGGGCACCTAAGTGCTTCCCCCCTCACAGGTGGGGATGAACCCACCCACCCGCCAGCACCTCCAGCCCTACCCAGCTTCCTTTGGGACACTATAGGCCTGCTGTCACTTCAGAACTGCACACGGCTCCCTGTGGCTGCCCTTGCCTAGGCCAGAGTCCTTCCTGTCTCAGTCCGTCCCTTCACCAGCCCAGCCTCACCTCCCTTGTTCCCTGTACCCCCACACATTGTCCCTTCCCACCCCTGCTCTTTAAGGCACGGAAGCCCTGTCCACACAGTCCCTTTCCCGCCCAGGTTGCTGCTCCCAGAGAGAGACCAGACAAAACTCTCCTGGAGGACAGACAGGGTTCAAAGTTAGCAAGCCATGTGACAGTGAATCCAGAAACTGGTGCCTGCACGCCCCTGCAGGGGCACGTGGTCTTGGGATGGGGGTTGGGGTTTTCATTCTTCAACAGAACGCAGGGGCTGTCACACAGGGCTTAGAGACTGGGCCTCGCAGTCCCAGGCTAGAGGGAGATAGGCCATGTGTCCTAAAGTGTCTGCAGGTTTAGGGTGACACTTGGTTTGGGGTCAGACACTGGCCCATCCCAGAAGCTCCTCTTGGGGACCCTGGGCCTTGCGTATGCTAGGCATGCGCTCTGCTACTGAGCCGCCCTGCAGCCCTTCCAAACCTCATCTTTACAGAATGGCACAGGGGAGATCCCCCGCCACAGGAGTGAATATGTGGGGTTGGCACAGAGTAGACTTCCCACCCACCTACACCAAGGGGTGAGTGTGGGGTTGGCACAGGGGAGACTCCCCACCTCCCAAAGGGTTGAAGGTGTGGGTTGGCACAGGGTAGACCACCTTCAAGAGAAGTGAACATGGGGGTTGGCACAGGGTAGACCACCTTCAAGAGGAGTAAACGTGGGGGTTGGCACAGGGTAGACCCCTCAGCCTCCATAAGGGGTGACCGTGGGGTTGGCACAGGGTAGACCCCCCCAAGAGGTGACCATGGGGTTGGCACAGGGGTGAACCTGTGAGTGAATCCTGAACACACTGAAATGTTAGCAGACCAGGCTCCTTGATAGACATGTGGCCATGCCCTCTCATGGTCCAGCACTGCACACGGGCAGTCCCTATCTGTCCTGCTTAGCCCTTTCCAGCTGTTACAGGTAAATTCATTGCCATTGTCACCCATATCTTGAGAGTCCTGAGACTTCTAGGGTGCACAGATCCCCTGTGCATTGGAGGCACAGTGGACTGTGCCCATCCCAAACCCTCTCCTAAGAAGAGCCAATCATATGGAAGGGAGGAACTTGGCCGCTTACTGTCCTGACATGCCACTTCCCCACTGAAGGCCCCAGTTCCTGCTTGGTACAGGCAGACCCAGACCTCAGGGATTTTACAGGGATCCCAAGACTTTGGGAGGTGGGTGACAGCCACAAAGCCCTCACAGGAGGGAGAAATGGAAGCATCGAGTGCACCTCACCTACCCAGCATCATCCCCACTGAGCCTGAAACGTGGCACCCACCCATCTGCCTCTGCCTGGACAAAACTCCCCAAAATTTGTGTGAGTGTGGGAGCGAGTGTCTGCCCTGGATAGTGGGGTGAAAGATGGCTGAAGGCCCACAGGCGGTTAAAGCCCTGGCTCTGCCCCATCCTGCTGTGTGTTCCTGGGAATCACTCCTGTCTCCGAGGCCCTCTGGAGTTGTTTGCCCAGTTACAGGACGGTCCCAGGCTGTACATAGCTGCCACGTGGGCCCTCGGTGGCAAGGGATAGGTCTGGGGGAGAATGAGGCAGGCAACCTTCCCTGGATTTCATTTCCTTCTCTGGTCTGATTGGCTGACTCCTGGTCAACTCCACACAGCAATGCAACCCTGGGCTACCATGTTTTAGGCCTCTAGGGGGCCAGAGAGGCCTGGCCCTGTACTACAGCCAATGTCGCCACCTGGTGGTTGACAATGTACAGGTTGGGGACTCGGGAGAAAGGAAAGTAGGGACTCTGGGATGCCAGCCCAGTTGGTGATCATCCAGTTGGCCCTGAAAGGGGCCATGACCTCTACCCCAAGCTCCCAAACCAGCCTGGAAGTTTGTGCATTCCTCAAACACGTCCTGGATGCTGTGGATACAGGCATCCTCTCTGATGGTCTTTCTCTGCTCATTCCGTCAGGGGCGGGGTGGGGCAGGGGGGGAGGTACCGCTAACAAGCAGCCCAGCCTGCTGGGATGGAGAGCAGGTCCTGGTGATGGGACAAGGCTGAAGCAGGCGCCACGGTATCAGTCCCACACCATGCCATGAACTTGTCTTTGTCCTATACAGGGACTGCAGGCTGGGTGCTTTCAAGAGGCAAGAGTCAAACGTGCCTCACCCTGGGGTCCCCAAGGCCCGCACAGTGAAGGTGGACAGAGGGCGGTGCTTGCCCAAGCCTAGTCTGGCCAGCCTTCCAGGGTCACGGAGCTCTCTCTTAGCGACTTGTGTGTAGAGTATGATCTTGGCTTCACTGTAGGAATCATTGTCAATGATCTGGGCTCTGAGCTGCACATATTGCTCCAATGTTTAGGTTTTTCTGATGGAGCCTTATATATGTGCTCAGGGAAAGGTTGGAGGGACCTGAGGGGCTGCCACATAGAACATTGCTCCCAGGGAAGCTGCCGTCATAACAATGCAAGCACCTCTGTTGGCTCTGATTGAACCCCCCCCCCCCCCGGGTCTGGGCATCAGGAAGCTAGGGCTGCCACATAGGGGTCTCAACACAGGCTGTAGAGCTGAAACAGGTAAGGCAAACCTGCCCTTCTCTGGGACCTCCTGTGTACCAGAACATTTGTCAGAAGGGCAGAAGACAGCCCCAGGGATGCTGGCTGCAAAGGCAGCTGGATAGAGATTTGGGGGCAGTCTTAGTGGGGCAGAGGCTGTGGGCTCTGCCACAGCCACATGGGTGGTACAGAAAGGACCCGAATGCCAAGTGGCTAATGGCTTCTATGTCATGCAATGTGGATCCCTCGCCTACTCAGTCTCTCAAGCAAATCAGCAAAAGCTCCATAGGGTTGAACTGAGAGAGTAACTAAGAATCTCACCCAAGTCGAGTCCCTGACTGAGAGTTACTAGGGGTGTGGTGGGGGAGTCGGCTCTGCTCTGCAGCCATGGGGAAAGGGTACTGGCCTCCCCAGTCTGCCATTTCCACAGCACTGCCTCCAGATCATCCCTTCCTGTGGGTCCAGCCCACACAGGCCACCCGAGTGTTACTCAGAGGGGCAGATCTGGTCTGTCTTCATCCTGTAATTATGTACCAACTCTACATGCTCGTGAACCAGCTTGGCTTTTCCATTCCACCAGCTGTTCATGCAAGGAACCCCTGTGACCCCTGTATCCATCTGAGCGAGGAAGGAAGCCCCAGAGGCAGGCAGCACAAGGTCCTCGCCACAGGTTCACACCCGTGCCTGACCCCAAGGGAACCACTTCCCTATCCCCGACCATCACTCACATTCTATGCAGGGCTGGAGGCTTGCTGGGTCTCTCCACCCCTAGGCCTGGTGTGTCTGACAGTGTCCAGCTCAGGGGGGTGGCCCTATGATAGGGTCATTTTGTTTCACTGTCTACAAGGATCCTTAGCAGCCTTGGGAAGGACATACGCTCGGTGGAGAGAAGGAGAGTCCTCTGCTGATGAGAGGGAGCCCCCTTGAATAGTCCCAGTTGGATAAATAAATATAACAACTTTGGGAGAAGAGAAGCCAGGTGCGGCAGCCACTTTTGAAGTAGAAATGCAGACAGGTTTGGAGGGAAACTCCCAGAGGTCATTCTGCCAGGTGAAGACCTGTGCTTGCCTTGCCCTTCAGCTCACACATGCAAGGCTTCCATAGAAAGGTCCCACTGGCAGAATGAAGCGGTGTCTTTGCCAAACCCATTTCTCAGAGAGAACCGCGGGCCAGGCTTACAATATGGGTCCGCAGCCCAGCCAAAACAAGCAGGCACTCCCGGGCACGTCCAGCAGGTGGGGGTGAGCACGAAGGGACTGAGGTCGGACGGTGGGGTGTCGCCTGCGTGGGTCCCGCCCTCAGATGCCGTCGGGTCCCGCCTGCAAGGGAGGGCTACTGGGCCAGTGGAGCGCAGAAGGGCTGAGCGCTGAATGCAGCGCAGAGTGGACAGCGGCACAGCCCGGAGCTGGGCGCGGGCCATGGCTGTGTCCGGGGTCCTGTCCCGCCTGGCAGCGGTGGCGTCGGTGGCGCCGGTGATGCTGGTGATGCTAGAGGCGTATTGCGCGGCGGGTGCGGGCATGGGCTCTTGCTACGACGACGCGGGGCGCGCACAGCGCTGTCTGCCTGAGTTCGAAAATGCAGCTTTCGGCCGACGGGTCGAGGCCTCTCACACGTGCGGACGGCCCCCAGAGAACTTCTGCCCGCACGTGGGGGTGCCAGGCGCGGGACCACAGTGCCAGCGCTGCGACGATACCGACCCCCAGCTCCGCCACGACGCCTCCTACCTCACAGACTTCCACAGCCCCGATGACAGCACCTGGTGGCAGAGCCCATCCATGGCCTTCGGGGTGCAGTACCCCACCTCGGTTAACCTTACCCTACGCCTAGGTAAGCATGTGTCCCCTGTCACCTTGTCTCCATTCCATGGAGGCCCAGGCAGAGGAGAGGGATTGTGCAGCCTGGGCGGGATGCAGGAGATCAGCCCGAGGGGCGCCCCTACGGGCAGGAGAAAGCCTCCCTCGGCTTTGGCAACAACTGGTGCAGCAACAATTCCCAGAAAGAACGGTTAGGGAAGTGGAGGGGGTGACACCTCCATGGATAACCTGGTCCAGGCAGGGACTCCGAATCTGGTCAGCTTCAAAGACCCAGTGAACCTCCAAGGTTGTGAGCACTCTGGGGCGGCTGCCATCACACCCTGGGCAGGACAAACAGTTTCTTCCTGCCACTGGATAGCCACCTGGGGCATTTGGCGTGCCTCCTCTGCCTTCCCCATCATTTGCCCCACCCAGCCTGAGCCAAGGTGTGGTAGCATTAGGCCCCTGAAGGTGGGAACCCAGGGCCCCACTTCCACCCTGAAGCTGGAATATTCTCTGACCACTCCAAGCTCAGAGGAGCCCAATGTCCTTGGGTTCCTTGCTATGTCCTGGACACGGTGCAAATCTTCCAAAGTTTTGATAACATGGATTTGGTATTTTCATAACTGACTTTGGCACTAAACCTGACCTGAGGCTTTATAGACTCTGTGTTTTCCAGTAAGAGCCAATATTCACACATTTTGCTGCTGAAATCTCATTTGAGTACAGCCGACAGCCCCAGAATGAAGCCCATTAGGAAAACGCTCCATTCCTTAGCTATAGGCATCCTCAGAATAATACCTCGTAGAAGTTCTAAATTCCAAAACACCTGGAGCTGAACTGTGTCCCCATGAAAATCTGGAAGCTCAGAGAGGTTAAGTGTTTTGTGCACAGACACACACGCTGCTAAGTGACAGTCAGGACACAAACATTCCTGTGCCATGGAGGTCAGAATATAAACTTGGCATGTGCTGGACCTCTCATGACTAAGCTGGTCCTCCCTAGACATGGGTGGCAAAGCCCTGGCAAGGGCTAAGAAACAGCTTCGTCCTCAGAAAAGAGCGGTGGGAAGGATATTTAACCCCTTCAGCAGCGCAGGCAAGCACATTCCTCTTGTACCCCAAACCCGTTCCCAAGGGGTGACGACGTCGTCTCTCTGGTGGAACTTGGATGAGGTGGGGTCTGCCCAGACAGGAAGCAGGAAATTAGGGGAGTTGGCTGATGAGGCTGGCAAGACCCCAAGGCCATGAGAGGAATCTGGGGCAGGGTGGGGGACTGTGAGGGAGACACAGTGTTCCCTAACAAAGGCTGTCCCATGTGCCCATGAAATCCAGATGCCAAGGAGAGGGCTCAGGCCTCAGACATGGGGGCGGGGGACAGGGTGGGAAATCCTGCGTTTGCCTTAAGGGGCAGCCCTGTTCACAGCGGTGCTGGTGCTATGCCTGATAAATGCTCCTGCAACCTTTAAATGCTTCAGCCAGCAGCCTCCGGGCATCTCAGATCCTGGGCTGTGGAAGCAAGCAAAGATGCCATGTGCTCACACATGGTACAAGGCATGTACATCTGGTGGGTCCTCCTCTAGGACAGCATTCCTCCCGTCCTACTGGACAGCACCAAGATCACAGGTGGAAGGCCCAGAGTTTGTACCATGAATGAATGAAGGAACGAAAGAATGAATGAATGACAGTGTCACACTGCACGCTGGCTCCGAAAGGGGGACAGGGTAGCAACCATGCAATGGGACTTTGGACTCAGGCAAAGCACAGCCACTACTGGGAAGCTGGGACTCCGTGTTGCACCTCAGTTTCCATGCCTGTACTGCGGGGACAAGAGGGGGGCTGGGGTAGTGACTCAGTTGGTGGCGTGTTTGCCTAGCATGTACAGGCCCTGGGTTTGATCCCCCAGCACTGAATGATACTGATGGTACTCAGGAGGGAGAGACAGGAGAATAAGGAGGAGGCTAGCCTTGCCCTGAGGCCAGTACTACAGTGACAGGTGTTCAGGTTGGAGCCCTCATGGCGAGCAGGAAGCCCTGGTGGGGGTTGAGGCCCGTGGGTGGGCTCTGTATCAGGGAATAAGAGCTCACCCTGTCCCACAAGACATCCGGACCCAAGGCCTGATTGTGATGGCCCAGTTGGAGGCTGGGTGTCTCAATTTTGCTGCAGCTAATTCATGGACTCATGACATCCACGGATCAAAAGTCCCCTGGCCATTGGCTGAGGTGGGCTGGTGACACCCCACCAGTCTGCTGCCTCTGTCTGATAGGTCTTCTTCCCTTTCATCAAGGCCCCTGGGAGGGGCAAGCAGAAGGCAGCTCTGGTCAGGGGCTCCTGGAGGGGGTGAGGATGAGGAGTGGGAGAAGAGGAGGCGGAGGTCAACTAGGAATGGAGGTCACAGCGTTCCCAGCTCCCCGCAGCTCCTGACATCTGGTCCAGATCCTATCCCGCAATTGCTGCTGAGCCGGGACTTCCTGCCCGGGATGAAAGGCCACAGTGGGGATGGTGAGGTTGGCTGCTTCCCTGAGGCCTGGAGAAGACAGCAGGGCTGGGGTGAGGGGTGGGTGGGGAGAGGAGGAAATACAGGGACACAGGGTGACAGACTGTTCAAGGACCAAGTAGTGATTATGCCTGCACCAAGGACACTTTGGCCAGCGCTTCAGCCGGGCAGAATTTATTTTTCACATATGGGGAAACTGAGGCTCTGAGGATAAGGTCAGTTGTTCAGGGTCATAAAGGGCAAAGAGTAGCTCCACTCCGAGCTCTGCTGTTTGCCCTAAGACAGAGTGGGAGGGCAGGCTGGCCCTGAGCTTTCTTACCTCCATCCCAAAAGAAACCAGAGTAGCCGCTCTTGGTGTCCTCTTGCCTTGGATTGTCATGACTCCTCCCAGAACCCATAGAAAGATGCAGCTGGGTCCCAAGCCCCCCAGATGGAGGGGGAAGTAGTCTAATAGGCCACTGACCCCCACCTGCCCTGCACTTCCCTTGGCTCTTGGCCGTAAGAATACAGCTATATACCCATGACTGCGGATCAGCCATAAGACACCGTGGGAAGAATCAGAGCTCTGAGAACACATATGAGGCATAGAAGTTTCAGTTGGGGCAGGGGGGTCAGCACCAGCCTTTCAAGACCCGAAGGTGCTACGGGTTGAGAGAAGCCAGAACACTCCAGATCTGAGGGAGCAGACAGTCGCAGCTCCACAGATCTGGACTCTCCAAGCCTAGATGGCCCTAGAGGAGGGGAGAAGAGCAAGGAGATTAAGCAATCACAGTGAAAAGGTCTGGCTCAGAATGGGTGCAGGGACCCCCCAGAAGTCCCAAGACTCCAGAGTCTCCTGAGTTTCGGCTCAGTTTTGCCTCCTACGGAGTGGGTGGTATGTTTGCCTTGGCTAGGACCGGAGCCTGGGGACAGAGTCCTCAATCCACCTCCTCAGGGGATTTGACTGGAATGCTAGGCCCCAGGCAGGTCAAGAATCAAGGCAGTGGTCTTGGATGGCCTCCCTCCACCCACAGAAGTGGCCCTGGGCCCAGCTGGCCTTGCCCCCACTCCTCAGGCCCTCCCACAATGATCCAGGAGCTGCAAAGGTGGAATATCCTACAAGGGGGGAGGAGTAAATGGTTTCCCAGTCTCCCAGGATCCCTTTCTACCTTTTCTGTTCTGACGATGACCGTGGCTTTCTCGGGGCCACAGAAAGGCCACGGCTCTGCTCTTCTTTCCTGTGGACCTTGCTGTAAACACCATCACATCTTTTCAACTTCTGGTAACCCAGACTAACTCATTAGCCAGTGGACACCCACTAGATGTGGAGATATGGCAGAGAGCCTGTCTGTCCACTCAGCTTAGGGTGCCCTCCTTCAGGAACTTCCCGCCAGGCCTGCACTCACCTGCCTTCCTGCCTTGGCCCTGTTTGCCACCATCCCCAGCTCTGAGCTGCCACGGAGAGGAGCACCCTTGTTTTAACCCCACACCCAGTACCACGCCCCCTGTCAGGTTCCCTGGTCAGTGTTAGTCGTGGGTACCCAGGATGACCCAACAGTGGCTGAAGTTCACTCGTGAGCCTGCTGCTCAAGAGCCTCGCAGACATCCGATTGCTTCACCCTCGAATTGTTATGCTCATTTTGCAGACAGGGAAACTGAGGCACAACACTGAGGAGTCAGGCATTTGATCAGTGAATCTCCAGTGCCCTGTGTTCTCTGCCAGAGCAGGGGAGGGTGCTAGTGGAGAAATGTTACGTGAAGGTCGGCCCTTCTAGAGGCATTGCTGAAGTCTTCCAAAACACAACCTCCTCCCTGCCTGGCCCCGGCCCTTCTGGGGCCAGCCAGCCCCTACCCCACCTAATGGCCTGACTTCACAGACTAGAATCGTGATCACCCTCTGAGATGACCCTCCCTCTCCCAAAGGTAGCACTCATCTTGGTCCAGCTCCCCACTTGAGCCCTCAACTGGGTCATTTAAATAGCTTCCCTGGACCTCATGCACAGGCCCAGGAGCAAAGGTCCCTGCAGCGCTCCCTCCCAACAGTCATGCTTAGCGCAGCTCAGCTGCGTGAGAACCATCTCCACAGTGCAGGGTTACACAGCCCAAAAATGAAGCAGAGAAATGTGTACTACAACAGGAGTGAACGCTGAGGCTATGTGCTAGTCACATGTGACACATATGTCATGATTCTACTTCTAGAAGGTTCCTGGAGCTGTCAGATTCATAGAGGCAGAAAGTAGAACAGGGCTCTGAGGGGTTGGGGAGAGAAAGGAAAGCAAGTGTTTAAGTGGACAGTGTTGGTGACTGAATAGCTGCGCGAAACCACTTAATACCGTGGACTGCACACTCAGAAACCGTGGACTGCACACTCAGAAACTGTGAACTGCACACTCAGAAACCATGGACTGCACACTCAGAAACCGTGGACTGCACACTAAGAAACTGTGAACTGTACACTCAGAAACCGTGGACTGCACACTCAGAAACTGTGAACTGCACACTCAGAAACCATGGACTGCACACTCAGAAACCGTGGACTGCACACTAAGAAACTGTGAA